ATTGATCAGTCTTTAGATTGGGCTCAAAAGGATATTGGGACACTCAAGCCTAATTAGAAGTGATAAAACACAAGTTCGAACTATTAATAGTCACAGCAAATAGCCAGAATTAGAAAATTAGAGCATGTGTACAGCTCTTGGACTTGATTTTCGGAGCTCTTGGAAGTAATTCAAGCTTGTCTATACCTAGGTAAGCTTCCATCTACCCTTCCTCTTCCATTTTATTTTACTTTTGAGTTAAGGTTTATGATGAGAGGATGATTTTAGGATTCTAGAGTTATATGTCAACCAATACCTTATTATTAAAAAAAATATTATTTTTAATTATTTTTTATAATTTTTTAATCTATTAACAATCAAAACTAACTTTTATTAATGGTACAAGCAACATTGCATTGTTTTTAAACTAACTTTTATTAACGGTATAAATTTTAAATAAAAATAAAAAAATTATATTAATTAATAAATATTTTATTATATTAAATTCCTATTTTATTATTTTTTTACACACATGTTTGAAATATTATTTTGGGAAACTTATGTGTTTAAATTTTTTAAAATACTTCATAAATAAGTTTATATAACAACAACTACAATATATCTTATCCTACTAGGTGGGGTCAATTATATGAATTATACAATTTTATTCTACTCTATTATTTATCAAACTTTTACAAATTTTATTAACTAAGTAAGTTTGTATAAATATTACATTTAAAATAAAAATAAAAATTTAAAAGAATATATCATTTAAATGTTTTGAGCGTAACTTGAATAATTAAAATTTATACTTAAAGAGAGGTATTTTAATTCAACATATATGATTTAACTGTTAACTAACAATTGAATGGATGGAAGTGAAAACTTAAAAGTAGAAAAAAATTATTTATATTCTGTAATTATTGACTTTAAGTGAGATTTGTATTGGTGTTAAAATAGAAAAAAATCCATAATTATAACAAAATAGAGAGGAGGAAAATGTATTTTATTTAACTAATTTTTTATTTTTATATACTAAAACATTTCCATGCTTCACACAGGAAATAAATCTAGTTAATTACTCTCTCTAGATTATAATATAAGTAATTGTTAGTTTTTCGAAAATAACTCATTATTGTGCGTAAGAAGTAATGGATAGTATTAACATCGCTATTTGAGCTCTAAATATGAATAAAATAATAGGAGAGCAAAGAAAATAAAAAAAAATTAAAAAAAAAGATATCACAATGATTATAAAATAGATTCCATCTAACCTAAATTATAAAACATTTTGAAATAAAATCTTACATTTTCAATAAATGTGATTAAATATACTTAACAAACTTTTTTAAAATAAAAATATAAACTTTCAAACATACCTTTTAATTAATATATTGAAAAGAGAGATATAGACAGAAATTAAAAAGAGAGAGAATAAATAATATTGAAATAAACCTATTTAATAAAATTTTAATATTCTCAAAATACATTGTATTTTGGGATGCCAAATATTTTTCAAAAGTTTTTTACAATTTGGTACGGAAGGATATTCTATTATTCTAGAATAATAAAAAATAATGGCTTTGTCTCTATAATTTTGACTTAGTTGTAACTCAATTTTTAAATTTTAATTTATTGTGACTCAATTTTTATGATTATGACTTAATTGTGACTCAGTATCTGAACTTTGGTTTAAACAACTCAATCCTATAGTTTTAACTATTTAAATTATTGGTCAAATAATTTAAAAAATAAAATTATAAAGATTACAATTGTTTTAAAATTTAAGGACAAATAATTTAAAATAGTTAAAATTATAGGGACTGAGTTCCACGAGTCATAGATTAAAAATTAAGTTATAGTTGAATCAAAATTATAAAATTGAGTAATAAAGAATCAAAGGATAAATGATTGAATTACAATTAGATCAAAATTACATAAACCAATTGATTAATTTTCCATAGAATATACTATCTCTATTCTAATTTATAAGATATTTTTAGAAAAAAATCACGCATGTTAATAAAGCTTATTAAATATACATTATAATCTTATTTTTTTAAAATAAAAATATAAACTATAAAAAATATTATTCACTTAATACTCCATTGGTGGAAAAAAATTAAAGAGAGAGAATATAATAGAAAAAGTAATATTAAAAAAGCATCATTAATAAAATTTTATTTTTATCAAAATGTTTTATATTTTTTGGATGGAGGAAGTACCATGTTTCATTCAATTATCTTTATAAAAATAAATTGAAGGCAAAAATCATATTAAAATTTATATATCAAAATAACTTAAAAGAAAATTATTTGGTGAATATATATATATATATTCATATTATTATATATAATTTTTTTGGTCATGTATTATTATATATACTTTAAAATCAAATAATTATCTCTATAAAAATAATTTGATTTCTGGCCCTGGCTGATAAAAGAAAAAATTTAAAGTCGAGATAATTAAGAGACATTTATAAGAATGTTGAGCTTCCCTCTTGATAAGAAATATATTAATAAAAAATAATATTTTTGGCTTATAGAAAAGTATTTCTATATTAGCAGAGAAGACGATTAATCAACAACTAAATGTGCCCTCTTTCAAATACCCAGCCGTAGATGATGGCTGGGTAGGAGCGAAGACCACAGTTCCAGGTTGAAAAGACCTGAAAATGATGGTCCTAATCAAGAAGGTGCAAAGATGATGGTGAAGCAATAGGTAGGGATGGATTCTACTTTGATGTGATCTAGATTGTTTAAATTTTAAATTTTATTTTATATTTTTTTGAACAAAAAATTTTATTTTATATTCATTAAATAATTTTTAAAACTTATAAAAATTTAAATGATCCAATTTTTAATATTAGAATTTTATCATTTTTATAAAGTGAAGATTTATATTTACTTTAAACAGTTTAAATTTATAATTTTTGGAAACTATCAGAATATTGTATTTAGTAAAACAAAAATTGATAAAAATTATAAAAAATGTAATATTAAATATATTCAATTTCTAAAAATTATAAAATTTTTTATATTAAATTAGACTATTTAAATAATTAGCATTGCCCAAATTAGTGATAAAGTATACTTATTAAAAAATTATAATTTTTGTAAATTTTACTTAAAAAATATAAATTAATGTTTTTTTAAATTTAAATGATTCATATCTCATCACGAAAGACCGAACTGAGTAGAGAGTTGGTGACCAAAGTGTGACATAAATTTCTTTTATCAAAATATTATGTGTTGAGAAATTTTGGGCAACGCCCCATTATCTCTTTGTTTTATGTTCCTTTCACTTTTCTTGTCCAAATAATGGAAAATTTGTTTTCCCCTTATTTTCTTTTCTAGGCTTTTTCCCGCCTCATCTCTATCTAAACATAGCATTAGGGCTGAATGATTATTTTGTTGCTTCACCCAATTCAGTAGGTTTAGATTATGATTGATCCATATGATTAACCACCCAATAAAAACTTAGAGGTACTCATTCTATCATCATAAGGTCAATGCAGCATTCAGAAGACAGTTTTAGGTAAATTTTGAATCATCATTAAGATAAATAGTATTAATCATATGAAAAAGGGAAGAATATGCGAGGTTTCAAAGAAATGAAATAGTGATAATTAGTCTTAAGATCTTTCATTGAACCAGTAGTCACTTTTAGCTTAATTGTTTGTTTGTTTTTTTTTTTTTTGGTTCTTTGTTGCATTCCTCCTCATCAATAGTTTTGGTCATTATTTTGTTTTGCTTAGTTTTAGTACCCCATCGAATTGGAGTTGTGCAAATGAGATGATAGGTAATCTTAATTTTTAATATTAATTAAAAGTAATGTTAATAAATCATGATTTTGTTTGGATAGTTCTTTTGAGTGATTATGAGAAAGTTAGTGTTGTTTGAAAATGTATTTATCAAAAATTCAAAATCAGTTTAGATGTATAATTACTTAAAAGCGTATAGTTTTTATAAAGTTATTGTTTAGTTTTCAATAATTATTATCAAATATAATTTAATAAATACCCAACGTGATTTTTAAATGCAAAAGCATGCACCTCCTTGTAGCTTTATTCAACATGCGGCAAATAATCTAAATCACGATTAATTGGGGTTAAAAAAAAAAACCAACAAGTTGCAAATGGGCTTCATAATTAATCACTAAGATTATATGTTGTTTTATGGAATACCTTGTGGTAATGACATCTCGTATTCTCATTAATTCTCTTGCACTATGCAATGCATAATGTATGTGACACAAGAACACTTGTGTGAACACATATTTTGAGTGAGCATATATATTACTTTTACTTATTTACTCTTCAATAAAAGCGAATTATCTGCATAAGAAATTAAAGGTGAAAGAACAAAAACATCGTGAATTAAAGTAGCTTTTGTGTTAAAATATTGAAATATCACTATTGTGATTGTAATGGTTCATATTTCTCATGAATTAAAGTCATGCTTTGGCACCTGGCTATGTGAGTTACATTTAATTAATCATTTTTTAAAAAGATATATGGATACTTTTACACATTTCTTCACTTAAAAGATATGGAACGCTTTAAAAAAATTTATAAATATTTTTATCATTTTTATCCAAAATAAATGTAGTGTAAACAAAAGTCTTGATCCAAGTCTATTAAAAGTCTGCCCTTCAATTGAAGGCCTATTTTTGCTCCAAAAAAAAAAATTGAAGGCCTATTTACCATTCGAAAGCTTGCTTTATTTAGGCAAGCCTTTAAATGGGCTTAATGGCTTTAAACATATCAAGAGTTAAATATATCAAAATTAATATAAAATATAATATAATATAATGTATTACTTTATTATATTATATATATAATATAATATTATATAATATATAATATATAATTTGTTAAACGTGTGGGTTTGATTGGCTTCGAGCTAAACTTTAATTAAAAAAGTCTGACTTGTTTAAATAAATAATCCCGTAAGCCCTGTCTCTTTGGTGTAAATACAAACACGCTGTCTCTTTTGTCTTGCTGTATTTCTCTTCTTTTAAGACATCCTTCCATCTACCAAATCCCACGAAAGTCAATTTTTCTCTTTAATAATGTTGATGTGAAACGCCTGGGCCTCTCAGCTCGGAAATTTACTATTCTTCTTTACCAAAAGAATCTATATAACCAGGCTTGTTATTGTGTCGTCTTCAGTATCATCCACCGAGATCCTGACCAAGATACACACACCTACTCTCTCTCTCACTCCCCTCCCCTCTCTCTCTCAAAAAAGAGTCACAGAAATCAGCCCTGCAACTCAAATTTCAGACTATACGTATCCAAGGCACAAATTAAAGATCATTTTCTGAGAAGAGACAGCAAACTGTTCCAGGTTCCGAAATCTTTCATACCCACTCCTTTTGTTTTTTGTTTTTTGTTTTTTTTTTCCTTTTGATTTTGAAGAAATATAGCAACCTAGTTTTACTGGGTTTTATGTGATTTTTTTTTTTTCATTTTGTTTCTCTTCTTCTCCTTCTTTCATGATCCATATTGCCGTTCTATAGGATTTATTATGGGACCAGAAATAGTTAAAATTACTGCTGGCGGTTTCTCTGTATCGGTATCCTAGCTCGACCGCAAAAATTATTTTGTAGTGTAATGAAGCGCGTATAAATATTTTATAATTTTTAAAAAGTAATTAAAAAATATTATTATTAAATTTTATTGATATGTGTATAATTTTATATGAATTTGTTTTATAATTTAAGATTAAAAAATATTATTATTGTTATTATTATTATTTAGCCAAATAGGACCAGCCATACAATGGTAGTGATAAGAATCTTCTTACTTTTTTCTTAGCTAACTTTTCTATCCATTAGTCTTTTGCTTCCGATCAGTTTGCCGACGGAAGTACTGAACAGCTCGCACACGCCTTTATTCTTCATCTTCTTCCTCCATTCTCTCCAAATATCTTTCATCTTTACTATTTCATCTGGAAGCTTGATCTGGCCAAGGTAAGCCTTGCAGAAAGGAACTGAGGAGGATGCGAAGCTGCTGTTGCAAAGAGCCTCTATTCATTTATCCTTGTCGTCTTTGTTCTTTCTTCACTTCTCTTGCCTTCTTCTATTCTTCTTTTTCATTTTTTTTTTTGTTCAAACTCTACTTCTGTCTTCTTCTCAAGTTTCCTTCGTCTCTCCTATCTTTTCCTTTCCTTCTTCACAATCTTCTTCGTTCTAAAGAACTAAATAACTCCAACAAGGTGTTGTGTGAATTTCTACTCACTTTGTTGTCATTTCCCTCACAGGTGAGGATATCGATGGCGTATTGTGAATCATCAAGACCCATTTATCAGATGTTGTGTCACATTATCGACATAAATAAGGAACCAGAAGATCTGAACACGTCCAAGTGTAACATCTACAGAGTCCCATGTAGTCTTCGGAACGTGAACGAGGAAGCTTGTACTCCTCAGTTGATTTCCATTGGACCCCTTCACTTTGGCGGTCAAAATCTAAAACCAATGCAACACCAGAAGCTACTATACTTTGGTTACTTCTGGGATCGTGTCAAAAATGAGGAAGCCATGAAGGCCTACAAAGAGTACCTTGAAGCTGAAGAGAAAGCTATACGCCTCTGTTATGCAGAAAAGTTTCCCTCCATCACTAAGGAAAAGTTCGTGGAAATGATTCTTTTGGATTCTGTTTTCATAATCGAGCTTTTTCTGATGATAAGAAAACCAGAACATCACCAAGATGATATCATATTGAAACAAACATGGCTGAATAAAGGTATCCAGAGGGACTTGTTGCTGCTTGAAAACCAGATACCATTGTTCATCTTGGATAGGCTGTATACAACTGTGGTTCCAGAAGCTGAAAGGCGTGGCAAGTTTATTGAACTGGCCTATGATTACTTCAGGTGCTTTCATCCTTATAAAAAAAGCAAATCGTATCACGATGAAGCTGAGAAACCAAATGGGTACCAGCAGGAGTGTTCGTTTAGGTTTGGCTTAGCACAACATAACTGGAAGAATGAACCAAAACATTTTACTGACATGATCAGGTGCGTATTTTCATCTTTAAATTGAAAGAGATGCGTGCCAAGATGAAAGTGATAAGAATTGCAATATAATAGTAAAACACAAAAAGCTAACACATTATTGTAAATTATTTTTATTTGACAAGGTACTTCTACATCTATGAGAATCTCACTCAGCGTGAAAAAGGGTTGTCTTCTAATGTTCTGAGGACTGCAACGAAGCTGCGAGAAGCAGGAGTGAGCTTCGAGAAAGTTTATGACAAAAACTTGCTTGACATAAAGTTCAAGAAACTTTCAATCTTGAGCTGGTTTCTGTTCTTGGGTTGCATACCAAAATTCACATACTTCAAAGCTCGTTTACAAATTCCACAGTTAAAAATAGACAACACAACAGAATGTATTCTGAGAAACCTCATAGCCTTTGAGCAGTGTCACTATGCAGATCAACCTTACATCTGCAACTACGTCTCCTTCATTGACTCTCTCATTCACACCAAAGATGATGTTGATTTGCTGGTTGAGAAAGAAGTTATTATCCATGAACTTGGGAGCGACAAGGAAGTAGCAACTTTGGTGAATAGTCTCTGCAAACACGTTGTGGTGGACAAGACGTGCTATAAAGACATTATAAATGATCTGAATGGACATTACCAGAAGGTTTGGAATCGTACAATGGCTTTGTTGAGGTTGGTATACTTCAGAGATGCTTGGAGAGCAAGTTCTACTTTGGTCGGAATTGCTGTCCTCGTATTCACAATCTTCAACTTTTGCCGAGTTGTCAGATTGGTCCTTGACCTCGATCAAATTAAAGGCAACCCTAATTAGTTGTGATGCAGCATAGCATGTTTGAATTATTAAGTAACTAAAATGACAGTGTAATGTTATAAATAACGTGAGAAGATCTTCATGAGCCTTTTCCTAGGATTTCATGGTGGACAAAGTTAATTAGTTGCAGAAGAACCTTGTTTTTGTGTTTTGTTCGGAGTTTGGTGAATAATATGCAATCTTAGTAATATGTATTATTAGTCTGAATCTGATTGTAGAAGTTTATGTCTTCAATAATCACTTATGTAAATAAAGTACTCATGTTTCTACTTAATTTCTGCGAAATTGCTAATTGACTTGGACTCTAGTTATCAATTGTCATGGTAATAGTTTCACATCATGATATATAGATTGGAAAATGACATTTGAAGACGTTGTAGGACATATAATGAAACTTAAAGACCACATTTTAAAAAATCTTCAAGAAGCATCAAAGTCTCTTGATTTTTTTTAGTACTGCCTCACAAAAGATGGCATCTGTATTATAGAAATATGTTGACTCTGCTTTTGATGTCATGACAAATTTAGAGAAAATTTAGTGTTAACAGGTTTAAGTTACTCTAAGAGAGTAAAAGTATTAATACTGAAGGTTGAACTTGAATAATTTTTCGTTTTCATACTTCCCTGGGATTTTTGAAAAAATTCTATCTTTTCTACTTTATTGTTCTTTGATTTAATTTCCAAAACTCTCTCTAAGCTTCAAATTTTGGTTTAATCTTGATCTTTTTCTCTTATCCATTACAAAATTAAGTTTTTGATTAGAAAACCTGGTTTTAATGTGTTCATTCCAATGAGTTTTTGAATCAATTGTGAACCCTTCGAATTTCTGATATGAACTTCTTGTATAACCAATTTCAGAATCGTCCAAGTATTTCGAAATTCTCCCTTAATTTTGAAAGTGTTGCCTTAGATCCCAAAAGTGAACTAGACTTTCCTTTGACTTGGACTTCAAAATTTTCTTATTTGAGCTCCTAAATTGAGCCTCTCTACATGTATAAAATCCAAAATAAATAATAAAATTGGTCCACTACTAATATATTTTCAAGCCATTTTCACACACATTCATCCACTTAGTCATATTTTTACTAAGCTCATTTCTCATCTTAATTTCCACTAAATTATGCCATTGCATAATCAAATCAAAAGGACTTTTGAAAGGTTGTAATGTTCTAGGTAGCATAATAAAATAAAATTATTCAGTGAGTCAAAATTACATATTGTAATTAGTGCTAAGCATATTAAATGAGGATCAAAAAAATTAAAGGATAAACCACAACTATTTTCAAGATGTATCAATGAAGATCAACAATTTTTTTTTACTTGATTTTTTTATTATTCATAATTCTCTCTCTCCTATTTTTTCTCTTTCCTTTTTTTTTTCTACTTTTTTTCTTTATTTTCCCCTATTTTATTTCCTTTCTTTTTATTCATCTTCATTTTTCTCTTTTTTTATTTTTTTATTTTTTTTGAACGACTTATGAAACCCCAACTAAATTCTAGGTCCTTCATTTTCTTTCATAGTTATAACACTTAGCTCTTACCAAAGTAGTAAATTGAAATAAAAATGGATGAAAAGTGAGAAAATCTTAGCAAAAGGACTTATGATGATTTTTTTTGAAAATAAGGCCAAGGCTCAATTTGGTGAAACAACAAATTGATATGAAAAGGGATGGTTATTTGGCCAAACTAGCTAAGAAAATGAATGCCTTAATCATGTTTATGTATGCAAATAGCTGTTACAAGTCTTAACAAAGATTCAAAACAAGTTCTAGAGATAGAATCACAATAAGTGTGCTGCCTCTTAAAGGAAATGAACATTTAGGCTCAAAATTATCACAAGCTTTTTGGATAAACTATTGTTAATTATCCAAACTTAATCCATTGCCTTACTAAAATTCTATGAAGGTAGGACCGGCTTCTAATCAAATTTAATTTTTTCAAGCTCAAATCAATCAAACCTTAGCCACATTCAAAAGAAAAACAAACAAACAAAATGACTAAAATAAAATGTTTATGAGATTCTCAAAATTTTTAAATTTTATTTATCATTTTTTTACTATGTACAATATGTACAACCAACTCTTAAAAAAAATTCAAGGACAAGCAAGATACCAAATGTAGTAGCAAGTAGCCCCTCCCCCACATTTAAATTAAACATTGTCCTCAATGTTTAGAGAAAGAAAACAAACAAGGAGTTAGGGACACTAAAATTCCCCTGACCAACAAACATGGTAAGTTGATAGACAGAAAGACTTTGAGAAAAGGATGAGAGTGACATATCCTCAAGAGAATATGGTACTTGCTAAGAGCATTAAATAGAAAAGTGGATAAATTAGAGACAAAGAAATTAGACATAGACCATCAAATAATAAGCTGTGAATTATCAATTACAACCTGAAGAGAATAAGAGCCAAATAGGTAGTCAAAGAAAAAGGAAAAAAAAAATCTAACAATAAGAGAAAAGACAAAATTCCATTAGAATAAAAGCTCAAGGCAACAACAAGAGTAGCTAGAAAAGAGCTAATGATGGAGCTCAAAGCCCAAAATCCGGCACATTAATTCTCTTCCATTCTTTTAATTAAATCTTGCATGGAATCCAATTGTTGCTTCATCTAGATGGCTTAACTTTCATTTGATGATACTTGATTAGAATTCTTTAATATTTGCCCTTTCTTAGCCATTCAACTATGAGTAAAAGCATGTCATCCTTTAGTAGATAATAAGGTAAGTGCTACCAAATATTACAAAATACAAGGGTTGATGACTAAAGGAACAAGAGAAGAGTAAATTTCTATGATAGAATTCAAAATAGGAAAAGTGCAAGTAGTAAAAAGAAAATAAAATGTTTTTTAATTTTAAACGTATAGGAAAAAAATACAAACAAAGAAAGCAACAAGTTTTTTTTAAAGTAATTTTCAATTGTTTTCAAAGTAATTAAAACAAACAAGACAAAATATTTTTTTGATTTCTTTTAAAATATGCATTTTTTAACAAATATTTACAAATTTATTCTTATTAAACTAAAAATTTTTTTAAAGATTTTTTTAACTCAACCAAAGATTTTGCTCTAGCAAAGCATAGATTTGCTCTAGTGAAGGTGCTCTTTGTAAATTGGTAAAGCATTTCATAGAATAGCCCTTTGCTCCAGCAAAATAAAGTTTTACTTTAGCGAAGGTGCTCTTTGGAATTTTGGTAAAAAGTCAAAGAGGCATCTACCATTAGAGCGAAATGAGATTTTGCTGCAGAAAAGGTGCTCTCTAAAATTTTTGATGAAAAGGCACGGAGGCATCTATCGCTAGAGTGAAATGAGATTTTATTACAGTAAAGGTGCTCTCTGAAATTTTTGACAAGAACACAGAGAGACCCTTTGCTAGGGCAAAATTCTCTTCCGTTGGGGCGAACAAAACAAAAAAAATAAAAATACTCAAAATCTAAGAAAAATATGCAAATTAAGCAAAAAATCATGAAGAAAAAGCCTAAACACCTCCCAATCAACACAACATCATACTAAACCCGCTTCCACACCTCCTAACATTTAATTAACAACTTTCAATCCAAAAATTCATCAACACAAGATTTTTGTCACGCCCCAAAATAGAGGCTAATCGGCACAAGTGTGAACCATTCTCACATTCTCGTAAGCCTCCAAATGAATATTTATTTCATTTTTCAAGAAAAGAATAAAATTCAATCAAATCATATGAGAATTAAAATAACTTCTTTAAATTCATTATCATAAGGAAGTGTCAACGTTTTTGTAAAAATTTCGGCAGAACCTCCCCTGTAACTAGGATCTCCCGAAAATTCTACAATAAAAAATTTACAAATATTAGTATAAATCAGGAGCGTAGCTCCTTCTAGCCAACAACCAATATACAGACCAAAAATAAAATTCATCAACAACCTATGTGGAGTATCTGCTATTTCTTTCAAATCAAAAAGACATATAGATTATATATTTACATTAAAACAACAATACCAATCAAAAAGGTCCACCCACTATAGCTAGTTGCCCTTTTAGAGGTCGTTGGTGGGATCAGCGTCAGCTAACAAATCTGATGCCAAAATAACTTTCCAGTGAATAGCATTCCCATGAAAAAATTTCTTAAAATTTTAATCAATAATTTCTAATAATACTGTCAGCTAGTTAAAAGCAATTCCATCAAAATTTATAAACATGTAAGTCATAACCATATTTATAAAACAAGAGTAAATTGAAAACAATTTATGTTATCATGCTTAAAGAAAATGATCTGCTCTCATATAACTCAAAGTGATACAAATTACTAGTTAAAATCAATTAAATTTTGAAAACACATAATACTCAACATTTAAAATTTTGAGAACTCAACAGAATGGATTACAAACGTGGACACTCAGTCCACGAGGGTAAATAACCAAACGCGGCTTATGCCCCGAAAACAAACGTGGACACACCAATCCATGAGGGTAAGTAACCAAACGCAGCCGTAGCTATGGAACAAACATGGACACACAGCCCATGAAGGTAAGTAACCAAACGCAGCTCAAGCCACGAAATCAAATGTGGGTATGAAGCCCACAAATACCAAATGTGAGAATAAAACTCACGAAACAAACTAGCTAGTGTTTAACCACAGCGCGTTACGGACTAACGGAACTGTCGTTAGTAGCAGTGTTCTGTATAGAGTTCTCTTAGAAATCCCGTTTCAAACATGCAAGAGAAATAATTATTTGTGAAGTCAAATTTTCATTCTCAAGATCAAACTCGCATGAATTGCTTCAAATATATGAAAATTGTCAAATCGATACACCATAACGAATGTACAAACTTGCGCTAATCATGTAATCAAGAAATTTTAAAATTCAATAGGCAAAGGTGCCTTCATCAATATTAAAAATATATTTCTTGAGAAAATGCACAAATCATAATATGACTATTCTTCATCATTATTTCAAAATTTCTAAAACTAACATAATTCATAAAAATGAAATATTTTAATAAAAGATTTTCAATGAATACTCATAAGGAATGCTATTCACTTACCTGTTGAAGTTTTAAATTCCCGAAAGTATTCTTCTTTTAAGTCTTTTCATGGTCTTGTTCTTCCACACACCCTATAAAATATAAATATATACAATTTTAATAACTTTTTTAATTTCTTGGAATAGAAGCTTTCTCCCAATCTTTGCACCACTTACCTTAGGTGTATTACTTCCACCTTTTCAATCTAAAACCTTCAACTATTTACCAAAAATCAAACGAGCTTTAAATATACAAATAACTGTGTGTGTAAATCCATAATTTAAATTCCTTTATAAATCTACAGGTGAATTCCTAATCAATAATTTCCATCAATATTTAGAAGTAAATTTTCTTTTCTCATACAAGCCCTTCAATAATATCTCATAGGCACCAACAACATATTTAAGCTTATCTCTTCCAATTTCACCTTAATAAATTCTTTAGCATTAACCAAATCAAATAAAATCAATTTAAATCTAAAATTATGACCCATCTGTTTCATCATCATTCTTCAATACTACTGCATATTTTTTGTTAATTCAGTCATGGGCAGCAACAGAAAATCAAAAAATGAAAAGCAATTTCAATGTTATCTCATCATACCCATAGGTGCGTTAGCTACCAAGAAGAAAGACAGAAGGGATTAAGATTCTTCACCTCAAATGATCCAACGGCATACAGCAGGGAAGGAGGAAAATGAAATTCACGGCTGAGCAAGAGGAAAAACGAAGCACCATTCAAAAGAAAGTGAAGAGAACCAAATCTACCAATTTCCAGCGAGCTAATTTCTTCCATTCATTAGCAACATATGAACGAAATTTGAGAAAATAGAGCAAGAATCAGGACGAGTAGAAGGAAGCATAACAAACTAAGAACATAGTCGAGAAACTTGACAGTAGCAACAGAAAAAATCCCATCATTTGTACCTCAGTCAACTGAAACTGAACAAGGAAGCAAGATGAGTCACATCTCTGTATAATGAGCTGAAAGGAAGAAGAAGAAACGAGAAGGTTTGCTGCACGATTCCAACGCGAGAAGAGCAAAAGACTTCTGACGAACTTACAGAACTTGAGACAGACGAAAGAAAAACGACGAGGAAGCTTAGAACGTTGGCACCGTTCACAAACAGCAAGATAAAAGGGAACGAAGCGAAAACAGGGGAGAACAACCAGTTATTAAATGTCTCCAATGGTGGATTTTTTCGGCACTCCCAACGTCACCGGCGAGTAGTTTAACGACAGGGATGATGATAATGGATGAAGGGCTGAACGACAAGGGTTCGAAGTTTCTGCTGAAGCCTACAGCTTTCTTGACTCATGCACCAATTCTGCTGGAGAAAGGAAAAGAGGAGGAATTATATCACAATGGAAAAAGGGCAATTTGGTAATTTCACATAGCAAAAAGGAGGAAAAAAATTGATTCTTCATTTAGTCTTTTTCGGATTCAAACTGGAGACCTGACATATGAAATCTTCCTCAACTGCCACTAGACCAAGTCTCTAACTTATTATATTTATTCCAAGAACTAATATAAACACACTTAAAGCAAGTTAACCTATATATTTATTTATTTTAAATTTATTTAGGGTTATTACAATCTTCATCCCATGTAAACACATATAAATATCATCCATTAAGCACAAGGATAGAATACTCTCCCCAAATATTATTGACTCATTCTTTGGTTTTAAAACTTGGCTTTGAGCTTTCAAATTCTTCAAGAACTCTACAGTCCTACAAACACACCAAAATAAAAGAAGATCAAACTAAAGACAACTAAATAAACAAACCAAAGAAAATATGAGTGAAAAGGAATAAAACTTGGGTTGCCTCCCAAAAAGCGCTTAGTTTATAGTCGTCAGCCAGACTTTCTCAAATTATCAAGGTGGATTCCATTCATTCCTACTGAACACCATGGTATTTGCAAGGTTTCTGAAACTAATTTGTTCTTCTTCTTGTGCATTCTCATTCTTTACTCGTTTTTTTGTTCCTTCCCTTTATCTCTTTTGCAACCTTAAATTTGGCCTCTTCTCCCAACACCTTTATGGTAATTTCTCCTTTACAAATGTAATAACCCAAAAAAAAATTTAAATTAAAACTTAAAAATTAAAATTAAAATTTCAAAATACATAATATTGTGTTTAACTATATTTATATTAATTTTGGAATAAATTAGCAAGAAGAAGAATTTGTCTAATGGCAATTATATTGTTACTTACCTAATAGGTCATGAGTTTGAATCTTATGAGACCGAGAGTGCAAATTTCCCATAAATTTTTTCTTTCTTTTGCTTCAGCCTATAGACAAAATTACAATAATGCCCTTCTAAAAAAAAGAAAAAAAGAGATAGAGATAGAGACCTAAACGCGTGGCTCTTCCCTCCTTCTATTTATCTTTCCTTTGCCAAAAAGTCCAGAAATAATGGAGAGAGATAAGGGGCTTCAACTTCCTCCAGTTCACCATCATTCCTTCCCTTCTTCTGTCATCTTCCACTACATTTTATCTCTCCCTTTTAGTTTTCGGTGATCGCACGGTGAAAGTGGAGATTCGGCGTTCTCGCTGATCACGTATGCGTAGCTAGGGTTTGAGAATTAGGTCACCAGAGTTGGTAGGGTTGTTCACGAGCTTATCTCTGTTTGGTCTAGTGTTATGATTCTGTTTTCTTCCTTTCATGTGTACCCTATCTCTGATTTGTTCCCTATGCAACTCGTGATCTTCTTTTCCTTCTTCTTCTGTTGTTGCTATGATTGAGTGTATCTGGTCTTTGACTCCCTTTAGCCTGCTTGTGCGTTTTCAAAGAGAGAAAGAGGAGTGGCCTGCCATTGGTTGAGTCCAGAAACACGAGAACTCTTCTCCCTGTTCTGTTAGCTTCTTGTTCTTTCCCTCCTCTGTTACTGTTGGTACTTAAGGTAAGGATGTTTGAACTCTTCTTGATACTTTGGTGTAAGAAAGAGTGTCTGAATGAATGATTGAAATTGAAATTTTTTTTCTAAGTTCTGTTGCTTTCCGTGGCTACTGAACGAAGGGAGATCTTATTTACAGAGGAAGTTCTGCCAAAATTTCTACAAAAACACTAAACCTTTTATTAAAGGAAAACATTAGTAAAGGTGTTACAAATTTCAAGTCTAATTATGCTTTATAAATAAATATTAAATATTAGATTAAAGTTTCCTTTATCATGGCTTAAGGGATGTATGATTATGTATGCATCTTGTGCTAGTCACGTCTAATTTTTGGGACGTGATAGATTGGTATTAGAGCTTAGGTTATTCTTATAGCTATGTAGAGTAAGGACACTTCAATGAAGTCTCAATTATCGTTATGAACCCGAGTATAATCATAACTGAGGCATCATTGAAGGCCTTCTAGAGAGTTCTTAGATGTTGTTTTTTTCATTGTCTTTGATTTCCCCTAGCATATAAGTTTTATTTTGTTGAGCCGAACACTTTCTATATTTCTTTGATTAGTGAAAATGGCACCTCGACGTCGAGCATCTGCTAAAAGTTCAAGTAGCAGTAGGACTTTGGACATAATCCCTTTACCTGATAATTTACCATGAAAAGGTAGAGGACATCGTAGAGGTAGAAGTAGAACTAGAGGTGGTCAAACCCTTAGGCCTCTTCAAGACATTCCCCCTAGAGCTGAACAAGTAAGTTCTTAGTCTAAGGAATAGACTATCCCTTCGATACATGATAAGCAAGAGGAAACTCTTACAGTTAAATTGTCAGAATTTATGAAGCTAAATCCACCTTCTTTCTCTGGGACTAATGCACAAGAAGACCCGATTGAGTTTCTTGAGGGTATTGAAAAGAGGTGTTGAGCCTTAAGATGCCCTGATGTATAATATGTTGAATTTGCAATATTTTAGCTCCAAGGTGTGACAAATACCTAGATTAAAACTGTGCCAGCTATAATAGCAACTAGAGTACCATTCTTGTCATGGGATGAGTTTAAGATTGCTTTTATGAAGCGTTATTTACCCCAAAGTACTAGAGATGCAAAGATTGAAGAGTTTTTAACTTTAAAATGTAGCAAGTAAATGTCAATAGCAGACTATGATCAAAAATTCACAGAGTTATCTACTTTTACTTCTCATATTGTGCTGACTAAGAGGGAACAAATTAGTAGATTTATACATAGGTTACTACTAGATATACATGATTCTGTAGCTCCTATGCTGGATCACTTTAAAACCTATACTGAAGTTATGGATAGTGCATTGAGGATTGAAAATTGGCATAAGGAAGATGAGACAGCTTTTATGAAATGCAAAATAGAAAGTGATGAGAAATTTTAAGGCTCTTCCTCTAGAAGCCATCGATTTCAAAGTTAACCTCATTTTCATACCCTTCAATCAATGCTTAGAGTATACGGATCTCTATTAGGAAATATCCCTACTATTCCTAGTTTTGGGGATATTAAACCCCAAACTCAATTAATAGTGAATCAGTCGAGTTATACTAGAGTCCCTTGTGCCATTTGTGGAAAGTATCATATAGGGTTATGTCATAGGGTGACTGGTGCATGCTTTAGGTGTGGACAGATAGGTCATTTGAGAAGAGATTGTCCTTTTGTTTAATCTATGTCAAGCTATGAATCAGTTCAACCTCCTCCCCACCCTACTTCATCTTCAACTTCACCTATTGGGGCAACTTTTATTTCAACTAGCAAGGGTGTGTTAGGAAGGGGAAATGGAAAGCAGGGATAGTCTTTTAGGCAAAGACAAGCACGATTTTATGCTATGACAGAAAAGGGTGCTAGGGCTTCAACTACTATTATTATAGGTATTATTATTGTATACTCTAATTAGATTTATGCATTATTTAATTCTAGATCAACTCATTCATATGTGCCTGCTTATCTTACTAAGATGTTGGGTAAAGAACCTACCAAACTTAGTAATTCATTTGTAGTTTGTACTCTAGGAAGAACATTTTTGATTGTCCCTTATGTGTAGAAATACTGTGAGTTTTTTTTTATGATAGAGAAACCCTTGTTCATTTGATGATGTTGAATATGATTGATTTTGATGTGATATTAGGTAAGGTCTAATTAGCTTCCTATTATGCTACCACTGATTGCCATTTGAAGGTGGTGAAATTTGATATTTTAGGTGAAATTCCTTTTGTATTGCAAGAGAATTTTATAAAAAAAACATGTATTAATCAAATTTGACCCTAAAAGCTTAACAATTTCTAATGAGGTGTTGTTAAGGGTTCTTAGTTATGATGAGAAATGTTGATAAGTCCACCATTAGCTTGAATCACATTAATTGTTTGGGAATTTCTTGATATTTTTCTAGAAGAATTGTTTAGATTACCACATGATTGGGAGACTAAATTCATCATTGACTTGATTTCAAACATTTAATCAAAAATTATTCCACCTTATGCAAAGGCATTGTTTGAAGTGAGGGAACAATAAATTATGCTAAATCCTTTAAGTGCAAATTGTGGATTGATAAGTTACTTTCTTAGGATTTGTTATTTCTTAAGAAAGTATTCAAGCTGGCCCAAGTAAAATAGATGTAGTGTAAAATTGGCCATGAATCACAACAAACAGAGAATAAACAGAGAATTTGAAGTCTCTTGGGCCTCATAGGGTTTTATCATTGTTTTGTATAATAATAATAATTATAATTATAATTATAATTATAATTAAAAATTAGGAATGATTTATTTTTACATCAGTCTTAAGATTACTATCAGGCATGGGTGGAGTTTATTCATTATATCAATTATTAAGTTAGCATTCAAATGGTATTGTTTGAAGTGCTATATGGCAACAATATAGATTTCTTATCGAATGGTCTGAGGTTAGTGATGCTAAGCTTTGAGATTGAGTTTGGTGCAAGAACCTATTGAGAAGGTGGAAATAATTAAAGAAAGATTGATAATAGCATAGAGTTGACAAAAGTTTAAGGTGATAATAAATGTTGAGAGTTAGAATTTATTGTTAGAGATAAAGTATTTCTCAAGGTGATTCCTATGAAGTGAGTGATGAACTTCGGGAAGAAAGGCAAGTTGAGCTCGAAGTATATTGATTCGTTTAAGATTTTGGAGAAATTTGGTGTTTCGTACAAAGGTTGGCAATATCATCTAAACTATTGAGCATTTATCTAGAATTTTATGTATCAATATTATAAAATACTTGTACGACCCTTCTTATGTAATGGTAACTCAAGAGATTTAAATAGACCTAGGTTATCATATGAAAAAGCTTTTGAGGCTATTTTTGGATAAACAAGTGAAGAAGTTGCAATCAAAAGAAATTGCTTCGATAAAAGTGTTGTAGTGTAACCATTCTTAAGAGAAAGCTACGTGGGAATTGGATGTGACATGCATGTTGAATAATCAAAATTTTACAAAGATTGAGGTAAGCATATTTAAATTCGGAGGACCAAATTTCTTAAAGGGGAGAAGAATGTAATAACAAAAAATATTAAATTAAAACTTAAAAATTAAAATTGAAATTTAAAATATATAATATTGTGCTTAAGTGTATTTATATTAATTTTGGAATAAATTAGCACGAAGAAGAATTTATCTAGTGGCAATTATATTGTTACTTACCTAATAGGTCATGAGTTTGAATCTTATGAGACAAGAGTGCAAATTCCCATAAATTTTTTCTTTCTTTTGCTTCAGCCTACAGACAAAATTACAATAATGCCCTTCTAAAAAAAAAAGAAAAAAAAAGAGATAGAGATAGAGACCTAAACGCGTGGCTCTTCCCTCCTTCTATTTATCTTTCCTCTGCTGAAAAGTCCAAAAACGATAGAGAGAGACAAGGAACTTCAACTTCCTCCAGTTCACCATCATTCTTTCCCTTCTTCTGTCATCTTCCACTGCACTTTATCTCTCCCCTCTAGTTTTCGGTGATCGCACGGTGAAAGTGGAGATTCGGCATCTCTATGTGATACCTAGGTTGTCTGTCGTGCTTCCCTATCTTTACTTATCTTCTTTGTTGCTTCACCATTCTCGCTGATCACGTATGCACAGCTGGGGTCTGAGAATCAGGTCACCGGAGCTGGTAGGGTTGTTCAAGAGCTCATCCCTGTTTGGTCTAGTATTGTGATTCTGTTTTCTTCCTTTCATGTGTACCCTGTCTCTGATTTATTCCCTGCACAGCTCATGATCTTCTTTTCCTTCTTCTTCTGTTGTTGCTGTGATTGAATGCATCTGGTCTTTGACTCCCTTTAGCCTGCTTGTGCGTTTTCGAAGAGAGAAAGAGGAGTGGCCTGCCATTGGTTGAGGCCAGAAACACGAGAACTCTTCTCCCTGTTCTGTCAGCTTCTTCTCGTTCTTTCCCTCCTCTGTTACTGTTGGTACTTAAGGTAAGGATGTTTGAACTCTTCTTGATACTTTGGTGTAAGAAAGAGTGTCTGAATGAATGATTGAAATTGAAATTTTTTTTTTAAGTTCTGTTGCTTTCCGTGGCTGCTGAAGGAAGGGAGGAATGGAATTAAACTAAAATTTGTGTATTGGAAGTATGATTTTGATAAGTATGGTTAGAGTTTGAGTCCAATTAATTTTATTTGAACTAGATGATGTTAAAGAAATGGTTAGGATGAGCTGAAATAGAAAAACTTGGATATAGAATTTGACTGTTAGTGACATGAGATGTTTGTTAAAATACTTGTGAAAAGAAGTCGTTTTATTGTGCATTTACTAGAATATTAGTAAATTTCTTGAAAGACTTAATTGGTTAGGGTGCTATTATTTTATGAATTTAACTTGAAAATATAAATTGACTTGGGTGTTACTCATTGGTAAATTTGAGTCGAATATTATAAAGACATTTATCTATATTATTGAGAGATTTATTGGATTCTTGTGTTATGATTGAAAATTTGTAAATTACAATGTTGTGTATGATTTGATTCTGGGGTGTATGTTAGGTGTTCGATGTAAGGTGCAGTAAAGGAATTATGAAGCAATTGAAAGATTGAATGTAATATATATATATATATATATATAATTGGATGTGTATGTTATAGAGTTTGAAAATAAAAGCATGCTCAATATGTTAGATAAGGGGAGTATTCATATGAAGTAACCGTGAAATTAGAGAACTTTTAAGATATGGATTTTGGTGTCTTTAAATAATTACTACAATAGTTTAGTAGAGTTAATTTGTATTGACTTAAATTTTTGCATGTATATAAATATGCTTATATAGGGTGTCTAGAAGAAGAGGATCTTGATAAAAATGATAAGGAGTAAGTCATAGAGGTTGGGAAGACTTATCAGGTAAGTGGATAACGTCCCAATCAATTTATATAAAAAAAAATCTTTGTCAACGTACTTTTTTAACAATTTACGGATATTTATATATTTCTTTTCCTTTAACTATTCTTGTTAATTAAATTGTTTATTCCTTGAAATCATGACTTATACTTTTTAGATTGGTGAAAAATGTTTTTACAAATTTTATTGGTCCTTTATTCGATGTAGCCAAATATGAAATTTGATGAATGGTTTATGAGATATTAGTTATGAATTTTCATATTTGAAAAAAATTTTAATATTTGTATATGTTTCATGCGAGTTTGATATTGAAAAGAGAAATTATATTTTTTTTTCAAGTAACGATTTTCTCATATATTTGAAAGTGAATTTAAAAATGGGACTGTATACATAACACAAGTCGCTAACGGCAGTTCCGTTAGCCCTTGGCATGCCACGCTCAATGACTCGCTAGTTTAATTTTCATGAGCTCTATTCTCACGTTTGTTATTTGTGGGTCTCGTACCTATGTCTGTTTTGTGGCTTCAACCATGTTTGGTTATTTGCCTTCGTGGACTATGTGTCCACATCTATTTTTTGGCTTCGGCTATGTCTGATTATTTGTCCTCGTGGACTATATGTCCACGTTTGTTAATTGTTATAATAAGTCCCTATAAATATGAATTTTGATTATATAATGATTTTATGTCCCAGTTATTTTTTATTAGTAATCTATTTATAATTACTTATTTCATTTATTTTCTTCATTGAAACCAAGTAATAATATTTGATATGATAATTTGATGGTTTAAAATTTCATTTACAGTTATACAACATCCTTTTATTCTAAAATTATTTGAATTTTTATGGAAATCGTTATCTCATTAACTTTCTTTTTATTTATGTTTAGTTATTTATTATTGGGACGTTATTCACTGAAAAATAATTTTTGATCTCAGATAGTGTAGCTGATGCTAAATCACCCACTGAACATTGAGGAGTTTACAATTGATTAGAAGTGGAGGAGCTAAGGACTAAACTTTCTCTTGATGTAAAGTTTTAAATTATGAAATTTTCTTTTGTAAGCTTATTATTAGGTGCTCCACATAGTCTATGGTTAGGTTGTTTATGTGGTGATATATTGTGTCTGTTGGTTAGAAGGAGCTCCGCTCCTAATTGGTTTGATATTTTTGATTGAAACATCATCTTGTAAAATTTTTGGGAGATCTTATTTACGAAGGAAGTTCTACCAAAATTTCTACAAAAACACTGAACCTTTTATTATAGGAAAACATTAGTAAAGGTGTTACAAATTTCAAGTCTAAATATGCTTTATAAATAAATATTAAATATTAGATTAAGGTTTCCTTTATCACGGCTTAAGGGATGTATGATTATGTATGCATCTCGTGCCCGTCACGTCTAATTTTTGGGACATAATAATAAACATCTACAATAGTTCTTGCTATCGCTAGCATAGGATGACTAAAAATAAGTTGTGCTTCCTTATCCTCCTCAAAATCAACCTCAATAAAATCTAATGGGATTATTAAATCATCTATCTTCACCAAGACATCATCAAGAACCCCTACAGGATATTGTAAGGATTGATCTGCTAGTTTTAAAATAATAGTGGTGGGTTTGGCAATCCCAAGACCTAGTTGCTTGCACACAAAAAGTGGCATCAAATTCACACTTGCTCCTAGGTTACAAAGTACATTACCATTAAAAATATCTCCAACATTATATGAAATCATGAATTGTCCTGGATATAGAGCCTTTGGGGGAATCTTTTATTTTATCATGGAAGAGCACTTTTCAGTAAGTTCTATTGTTTCAAATTTATGAAATCTTTTCTTCTTAGAAAATACTTCCTTCATAAATTTTGCATAGTTTGGAACATTCTCAAGCATCTCCACAAATGGGATATTGACATGCAACTGCTTCAACACTTCTAAAAACTTAGCATATTCTTCATCAATCTCCTTCTTAACAAATCTTTGAGGAAAAGGTAAAGAAGGAACAAATAGTGGCTTTGATTTTACCTCTTGCTTTATTTCTAGTGCACTTTCTTTCTTCCTCTTCTCACCTCCTATGTGAACTTTTTCTTTATTGTCCTTCTTCCTTTGAACAAATTCTTCACTACTCGTGACATCATGGGATAACCCTTGACTTTGTCTTTCATTTTCAAAATTTATCATTTCAATTTTTCCTTTCTTTTCAACAAGTTAGGGTCTCAATGAGCTATCCTCTAGTTCTTTCTCATTCTTTATCATGACAAAATTGCATTCTTCTATAGGTTTGTTTTCTCCTAGTCTTGGGTTTTGAATTGTTTTACTTGGTAAGCCACCTTGTCTCAAAGCATTTATAATAGTAGCTAAGTAGCCAATTTGTGTTTCAATATTTCTGTGAGATGAGTCAACCCTTGCATTAATGTTAGCTTTCTCTTGATTACACTTTATCTAAGAAGTCATCAACTTAACCATCATGTCTTCTAAGTTAACTTTTGGCTCTTGAATTAGAATAACTTGCTTTTCAACTTGTGATAAACCTGATGGATTAGTTGGCCTTGCATCAAAAGTAAATGCTTTATTGGGTGATGCATTAGGTTTTCAAGAAAGGCTAGGCAGACTATTCCACCTAGAATTGCAGGTATTTGAGTAGGGGATTACCTTGATTGTTACTATGATAATTTCTAACATAGTTCACTATTTCTACTTGTTGAGAGAAAGGGCATTGTCCAATAACATGTGCATTTTCACAATAATCACAAGGAGCATATATAGCATGAAATCCCATATGTCTACCATTGAATTGATCAACTCTGTCACACCTTAAAAATGGGAGTGATCGGCACGAGATATGCACCTAAACACATATCCCTTAAGCCTAATTCAAGAAATGTTTTATTTTAAAAATACTTTTTATTTAAATGAAGCTTTAATATTTTTGTGAAAATTCTAACAATATTTCCCTTGAGAATAGGATTTCCCTAAAATTTTACAATACAAAATTTTTAAAGAAATATTATAGCATGTATGAGCTTAGCTCCTTCCAACCAATAGACAAAATATTTACAAAATAAAGACTCTAACCAAAGTCTATGTGGAAAACCTATAACATTATTTATAAAATACAATGTATAAATTAAAATTTCACATAAAATAAAGATTAACCAAATTGGCATCACAACTTCAATCCAGTAACAAAATCCTTCAAAGGTTCTGAGGAAGGTACAAGCTATTTGAAACCAAAAATATTTTTCAGTGAATAATGTTACAACCATAATATTGTTGTAGAATCAAAATGAAGAAACTATAACATTTACATAAATTAAGGAGAAAACAATTCAATGTAAACACGAAATAAAAGTTTTATATAACTTCAGTATCGAGAAACTTTAAATTTATAATGACAAAGTAGCTTTAACATTTAATTTTGACAAATCAAAATGATTGACTAAATAAATAAATAATAACAATTGCTAATTAAAAACCATTAGAGTATGAAAAAATCAATTAATTAAAATCTCATACTTTTGGGGATTTATCAGAACAATTCATAAATATGGACACACAGTCCATGGGGGTAAGTAACCAAACACAGTTTATGCTATGAAAAAAAAGTGGACATACAGTCTATGAGTTAACCAAATGCAGCCTGAGCCACAAAACAAATGTGGATATACAATCCATGAGGGTAATACAAACCAAACGTGGCTCAAAGTCACAAAAACAAATGCGAGTATGAAACCCACGAATAATAAATGTGAGAACAAAGTTCATAAAAATTAAATTAGCTAGTGATTGACCATGGTGCGCCAAGGGCTAACGGAATTGTTATTAGCAATCATTTTCTATATAAAATCTCCTTTAAAATAGTTTTCCAACATGCAAGAAAATTATCACTTTCAAAATACAGTTCTTATTTTCAAAGTCAAACTCACATGAATAGCTTGAAGTGTCAAAACTTGTGGAAATAAAATTTCATAATTAATGTACATAATTGCATTTATTGATAAACCAAAATTACTAGGATTGATAAAATAATTTCATAAATCTTGAACATATACTTCATAAGGAAAATAGATGCACATGTCATAATTTAATCATTCTTCACCATCATTTTATAATGTCACCAAATAAAGAAATTTAAATAACAAAATATCCAATACTTAACATAATTATTATTAAAATAATCTTCATAAAGATATAATATTTCAAACATGATTTTATAGGTAAATTAGTTGGGATGCCATCCACTTACCTAAAATATGCCCAAATGCATAACTCATTCCTAATTAGTCATTTTTATAGTATTGTCCGCCTCTTAATTTCCTAACATCCAAAGTGATATCATTGTTATTTCTAACCTTTCATTATAAAAAAAATAATGTGTCAAATAACAATTGAATTAACAATAACCCATTTATCACACTTTATTTGTTGCATAAACCAACGTCCATCAATCACATTTCATTAAAAACCCTAAGTACATCCCAAAATCAAATAATAAAACAATACAATCAATTCATGAAACAATATCAGTCTATAAATTCTCACCCATACAACAACCAACTTAATCTTTCTTCGAAAAATTTCCCAAACATCTATGTAAAGTTATTTGCTTCCCAATGTAAATAGAGGCAATTAAAAGCATTACACAAATAAATAACAACAACACATATGAGACATTAAGGCTACTACAAGACACAAAAGAAATGACTCCTAGAATTATTGCACAATAAGAGGTGCTGGAAAAAAGTTGTTGCATAATCGTATCTTTTCTTTCCATTTTCATTTTTTTTTTCTTTCAATTCAACTAAGAAGTTTTAGAAGGTTATTTTTCTCGTCTTTCTTCCCTTTCAATGCAACTAAAAGATTTCCTTTCCAACCCATATATGTAATACTTTCCCTAAGTGTTATCCAAAAATTACACAATTCAAATAAATTAAGTGTCGTTAAGGAGTTAATCCCAAAACCAACTTAGGAAACAAACTATTTAAATCACTAAGCAAAAACACGATTGCAAAGTAAACATTTAAAACATTTTTTAAATAAAAAAATTTATAGGTTTTACCTATAGCGCACGGAAGCAAGCTAGGCGAAAGTGAGGTAAAAAGATGCTGTCATGACAGTATTAAATTGCTGTCATGACAGCCTTCACAGGCCAACTTTCAGGAGGTGCCATTCTGTCATCTAATCCTCGATCGAAAAAATTTTAAAGCTCACACGTCACATTCAAAGGGATAAGTGTATCAAATTTCAAAAAGATCTAACGATCGGATTAAAAATTAAACATATTAAAAGTTTGGTCATTTTTGCTGTCATGACAGCACCTCCGAACTAACTTTCAGAGTGCATCATTTTATCATCCGACCTTTGATCGGAGTGATTCTAAAGCCTAAATAATCACCGTTGCTATCATGACAGCACTTTTGTTGTCATGACAGCTCCTCCAGACTAAATTCTAGAGTGTGTCGTTTCTCTATCTGATATTCAATCGACGTGATTTTAAAGCCTACACAAAGCTTATAAAATGTTTTACTTGTGACCCAAATTTTAGAGAAATCCAACGGTCGGATTAAGATTTGGACACCCAAATATAAAAGTGCAGTTTTTTGGTAAAAACCATTTTTAATATTGTCCAAATTTCATCTTAATGGTCACAAATCTGTAAAAACACTTTGGACACGTCAAATAGGACTAAAGACACCTGATAGAACATTTAAATGATAGAAAAACCCTTTATATCAAAATTTGACCACCTGAGTGCCATTTCCTAAAATGAACCCTAAACCCCCAAAATGCACAAATCACACAAGAGTGGCTAAAACCTATTCTAAATATCATATACACATATGAATACACACGCTAAACATTTTCACTTGGCTCAAAGATCTCTGTAGGGCCCACACACCTACTCTCTCCATCCAAGGTGTATGTTTATCCATAGCACACCATTTGCAATGCAACCACTTTGCATTTGCTTGTGGAATCACATATATACCAAAATAAATATTTACTTGTAGGGAAAACTTGGTCTACTAAATAAATCCATCAAAATTACACACCATAGCCAAGTTTCCTAACTACAAGTCTACAAGCAAATAAAAATTCATATACAAGCCATACAATCCACACATACTCACACACATGTACATAATCACATCCTACTGGCACCCTAATCCTAAATATATTACAATGTACTTGCTCAAAAGAAAGGGGTTGTATTTCTTTAAAATTCACAAACA